CCCCCCCCCCCCCCCCGATAATCGACAATAGAATTTTACTCTAAGATAAACTGCGATTATAAATGTCGTGAATGGACGACTTACGCTTTAGAAAAAAATTTAATCTGGGAATAACAAAGGATATTTTCTGAAAGAAGTTATCAAAATTAGAAACACTGCAAAGTTTGGTTGCGAAATCTTGTAAAATACGGAAAATATAGCCCTGCGAAGTTGGCAAATTTGTATACATTTCTATTACGTGCGGAAATTGGTAACTAATTTAGTTACCAATTCACGCACGTAATACAAAAAGTATACAAATTTGCCAACTTTGAAGGGCTATATTTTACAACATTTCGCAACCAAACTTTGTAATATTACTAATTCCAAGACGCTCTTTCCAGCTGTGGTGATAGATTTCGTTGCTCTTACTTAGATTAAAATTTAGTCTAAAGCGCAAGTCGTCCATTGCTTCCTATATTCACAACAACTCAACTAAAAGTAGAGATTTCAAACGCTATTTTGAAAAATATATTTATTCTCGCCCGGTCTCAACACAATTACACAATTCTTGCAATGTACAACCGCATGCTTTTTTGATTGACACTTCCGCATTAATTAACTTCAGGTATGCCATAAACTATTAAATATTGACAATCTCCAACAATAAATTGTATTCCATGACCATTGTACTACGCCTTAGTTGTTTTAAAAAATTGCGGGGACCACTGAGTATTTTAAATACAATACAATGGTGAATATTTTGAACAGTGTTTCTCAACGTTTCGACTAGATTTTGGTCATCAGGAATGAAATTACTACATCTCATATAGGTATATATACAAGTGAAGAAATATAGGAAATACTTAGTGATATTAGGTCATTAGTTAAATATTATTAGTTCTTTAGAAGATTTAGTTCTAGGTGTAATGTCTATGTAGTTGTTCATAATCATTTTACAAATTGGGGTGTTTTATTTGAATTAGCGCTGCACCAAAATCGTAGGGCCACAAGTTCTATTCCTGCCAGAGGGTATATAGTTTCATTTTCGCAACTGTTAATTCCTGATTAGATCTAATAAATGTCTAAAATTTACACTTGAATTTTCCATCTATGTATGCTTTGGCACGGTATACAAAAATTTAAGCGATTTTGTTTTCTGCCGTTGCTGTGATCGGTTGCCAAAATCTATAAACAGTACTGGTGACGGGGGTGTTGATGGCCAAGTGGTCAGTTGCATGCGCCTTCAATAATATGACGTCAACATGAAAAGGGGTGCACATCTTGTATACTTACAGGTCCGCTAATGGTGCCCGAAGCCATGAGGTCGCCTGGTCTGGCATTGCATCCTGTCACAGTATGGTGAGCTAGCTGTTGTTTAGCTGTCCAGTATAGATTCCTCATGTTCGACTTGCACACTACTCCAGGCTTATCCATTCCTTCCCCTTGAGAAATGATGTATGCTCATTTAGTTTTCACTAAGCTAGACAGGTATCACTAGTAAGGTAGTTATCAGGTGCAGCTGGAATCTTTGTGGCACAATCGTCAAATCGCCTTTCTCCTCTGAGATCGTGGGTTCTATTCCCGCTGCGGACTCGTGACACTTATGTGAAAAAGTTAGTCAACGATCTACCGAAAGATCACAGTTTAACACGCGGGCTGTATGACTTGAAAATTTAAGGCATTTCGGGTAATTGGTGAACGCGCGCGCAGATTCTTCCCTTGCTCCAGGGACGGATGTAGTCTCATCTGCAAGAAGGGGTGCAGGTTTTCCACGAGGTGCATAGGAGTGCCTTACTGCCCACTCTCCTCTGCAGTCTACAACACTACTATTCCAACATTACCATTATTTGAGACGGCCGAATCTGCACGTTCGCTGTTCTGTTACGTTTTACATTATCTCTTGTTTATATAGGCTTTTTATCACGTATGCATGACTGGACAGTTGCTGTAGCACAGTACATTTGAAAAAATTAAAAAAATAAAGAACAGTATGTTTGAAAATATGGCTGTATAGCAAGTGGAAGTTCCGCTAATCGCTTTCGAAAAGCAGAAAATGTATGGTCAAGTAGACTTTTTTAGGGAAGTGCTGGACTTCTCTAGGGGGATTGCTGGACACCACTAGGTGGGTTGCGCACCCCCCCCCCTGCACACCCACGGTAGATCCGCCCCTGCCTTGAGCCCACGCGAGCATTCGCAAATTGCCCACCTAATGCCCAACATGTACGAGCTAGCTTGCTTTGTGGGTCGTTTGTATTTTGTCATGAATTCTTAATGAGTTTAAGTAATATGTGTGTTAATCTTGTATTTCCAAGCTGATCTTATATTTAGTATAATTGGCTTGCCGCTGCAAGTGTGTACATTTCTTGATGTTCACCGCCCCCTACTGCTCCGCGAAGCTTGCTCAAACCCTGCCAATTAGGCAATTACCAAGAACTATACTGTACACATTTAGAATTGAATTGCGGTTAATTTTGTTCAGGTTTCTTTCAATTTTTCGCCTTTTACCTTTGATAGCGACTTCCAAGTCCACATTCAGCGAGTATGGGTCCGAATGTCGTAGATATGGCAGCGGTTGTGGGTCCTGTCAACAATTTAAATCGTATTATACTAAGTCCATTATACAGGATAAAAGTTGGCCCAAATCATGCAACAATGTTAAAAGTGGTTTATTTTAAACTGCTTATTATTCAATTTGTTTGGATACGATAATCCGATTTATTCAAATTGAAAATTGGAATAAATCTGATAATCCGTGCTTTTAAAACACTTCCGAAAGAAACACTGGCCAACATTGTTAGGATCGTTTGAATGGTCATTAAAAATGTTTGCCTAGATGACTATAGTCTTAATAGCGTCATCCCCACTTTGTATCAGTTCTAAATTGTTCTTCCTGGAGGTCCTGGGTAATGGGCATCACATAATCAGTGTTGGGAAATGTCCAGCAGCGCTAGCAGCATCCCTGCCAGGAATAGGAAATTATCTTTGCAGGAAACTAAGTTTGCGGGAAATTTTCTTACACAGTCAGGGTACGATAATTCGCGTACTTACGTATCGGGTTAGGATAAAACGCGGATACGGACGGACGGATGGCGGCTTTAATAGTCATATCCGCGTTTCATCCAAAAGAATAAAACGCGGGTATGTTCCAAAAAAAAGTTTTTCATTTAGTCGGTATAATTATGTGTAAGTCTGAGATGTGTTCACATGAAACATGATTGTACTGATAGTCTTTTGATGTTACTTTTAGTGTATATCCACACCGGACAAGCTTGAAAAATATGCCTGGCCACGGTGGGAATCGAACCTACGACCTTTGGAATACTATTACTAGCCCACTCAGAGAAACATCAAAAACATCATATTCACCTGAGTACACAACACCAACACAGAAAAAATCAAATGTTGGCGTCGTTTGTTTGTATATGCAATTGTGCTTCTTGATCTAACTCGTAGCATACCTGGGCAGGATTAGCAAGCATGAATGGCTGCAAAGCCTCCATTGTGACAACCCAGGGTGAAATTGTTGTACAGAAACTTTTGGCCAAGAAAGGACCAAGAGGAACATACTCCCATTTCTGAATGTCTCTCGCTAATAAAGATAAAACATTTCAATTGACCATTTGCGTAATAGACTAAATTTTGATCTAAACAAGTCTAGACAAAAATTTCATCACAGCTTGAAGGAGCATCACACAATTTAAATTCAAACAAAGTTTCGTTGCGAAATGTTGTAAAATGCGGAAAATATAGCCTTGCGAAGTTTGCAATTTTCAGTCATTTTAGATTACAAACGGGAAATTGACAGCCTCAAAGGGTTTGGGGCTGTCAATTTCCCGTTTGTAATCTAAAATGACTGAAAATTGCAAACTTCGCAAGGCTATATTTTCCGCATTTTACAACATTTCGCAACGAAACTTTGGAATATTACTAATTTTGTGATGCTGTTTCAAGCTCTGATGAAATTTTTGTTGAGATCAAAATTTAGTCTATTACGCAAATGGTCAATTAACATGAATAAAATTTCATCTTAGAATTGAGTTATTGAGATAAAGGAAAGCCCTGGGTAATACACACTTCCAGAAAGTACGCCATTTCGTGTATGCCGGTGTCTATGTGACGCGGTTTTTTGTGTGTGACATTAAAGCCTAACGTCTCAATCACGAAAGCGAGGCTCTATAACCGAAAGCGAGGCTCTATACTTTCCGGAAGGGTGTATTAAAGCTATCAGAAGCTGTCAGACTAAATGTGAATGAAAATAATATTTGTTAAAACGGCAACTTTAATGAATTTCAAACAGCTTTGGCCTTTGTAAGACATGAACAAAATCAATTTCAAAATGTCCAATTCCTAATGCCAAACAATTTCAGAAAATATCCACTAAAGCAAGAACAATTTAAGGACTTTCAAGAACTTCTTTATAAACTCAAGGACTTTCAGGGCCTTGAATTTTTGTTTCCAAATTGAAGGACATTCAAGGATTTTCAAGTTTTATACGAACCCTGCTCATACCAACCTCGTTCCCAGGCTCTTTCCTCCACAAGAGGAAAGACCCTGGGAACGAGGTTGTGCTCATACGTGAAACTTTCAAACTGTCTAATCTGATCGTCCAATCATATTTAACTAGCCGTATGCCGGATTAACTGGGCTCATTCAGCTCATTAAAACATTCAAAAGTTTCACACAAGAATAACCAAACAATTTATCTCGACTGTTTCAATTTATCATTTGTGCCAAACAATGGTGTTTAAGTGAGCTGTAGTTTAAATGCTGAAAGAACTGTTCATCTAAATCATCTTACCACTCCAATCATTCATAATAACCATTCCAAAAATGTGTTCATGAGCCTAGAATGAATTCATGAAATAATTTAAGTTTTAGACGAACCGTTTTGCGTAAGAATAACAACGGCTGCGAGCAGGCTAAGCTGAACTATAACAATAAATTTATAATTGTGCTAACTTGTGCTAGGTTGCTAGCGAAGCCGAAGGTTAAAACTAAATAATAGTTGTTTAATCCACATGTATTACCTTTTGTACAGGGATAGGTTCTCCTTGATTGTTTCCAGGTCCAACAAAGAAAGCCTATAAATAATAATGAATTTTTTCAAGCTTTCTTAAATCAGTCTTTGATGGTATAACTCGTATTACAGTTTAGTATTTACAAGTTAAATGTTTTTTATACTTCTTGTGTCGTCTATATACGTAGTTTCACAGTTTTTCAAGCATTTTACAAAGGTTAAAAAAATCACTATCCGGTGGATAGCGCTATCTGACCTTCGTACAACCGGCCCCTGGTCAATATTTAACTATTGATAATTTTTCGATCAACTTTTCAATATTGACAAGATTGACCTTTATTATTTTTTTTAAAAACTCACCATTTCTAACTCAAAGTCCAAAATTTTACACGCACCAAATACTGGAGGTTTGTCTGAAAGAAAAGTTTACTTCAAATTTACTTCTACTGATGGTACAAAAATTGAATTGTATACTGTCAGTCTGTTCATCAATCAGTCTGATTTGTTTTGGTTTATTCATCTACCAACATTTGTTTGTATGTTGTCTGTCATTTCTCATTCAACTTGCCTTTGTACAGCTGGCAGCTGAAAAAGTACTTCCATAGAGACCAGACTTACCATCAACCATCCTCGACTGTCCTACAGGTCTCCTGACAGGTGTACCCGAGATAACGACTGATGAAGCACGACCATGGTAGCCAACTGGCAAGTGAAGCCTGAAACAAAATTTGGTAAGTATGACCACAGGTATGACAGAAACCAGTAACATACACTAGGGAAAGGGATGATGATGGTAAAGAGAGGCTGATGAGGAAGAGGGGGGTGATGGGAAAGAGGGGTAATGGGAAAGAAGGGTGATGAAGAGGTGATGAGGAAGAGGAGGTGATGGGGAAGAGGAAGTGATAGGGAAGAGGAGGTGATGGG